CAGGCTATGGACAGGGAGGGGGGAATAAAGGAGCTGACTGCTCTTTCCAACACAACAGAGGGAAGAAAGAGTACAAGGAGCAGAGAGAAAGCAGACTGCCACATCTCCAACTTTATTCCCCAAAGTAAACTTATCTGCTGAGCAAAGTCCTCCACCTCCAAGGAAGTGTAACTGAACTTCATCTTCTTCCTCTCTCAAGATGGATGTTTTAATTGTTTATGCCAAAAAGGCAAGTAAGAAAATCTTTTAATCCGTTAAGATGAGAAAGGGGATGGTGACACCAGACACATTACCTGTCTCTGAGAACTCCACCCATAGGAGCATCTCTTCATTCAGCTGGGATGCAGTGTTCTGAAGGCCCACAGTCAAGCTCTCCAGTTTGTCAGTGATTCAGGTAATTTCCCAAGTCTTTCATAAAAGTTCCTTAGTTTCCAGTTCAAGCCTGACCTTTTATTTGGAATATGCTTGATTTTGTTGTCTTCTAATGCTTCTCCCACCCCTCCTTCCTCACTGCTGTTTTCTGCAGGATGAGAACTCCAACACAGAATTACAGGGAAGAAAATCAAATCAGAAGGGTTCTAACTCTCCAGCTCTGCTCTTTTGGAACAGCAGAAAGATACATCTTGTAGTTACAATAATGTGGTCAGTGTGATGATGTTTGGTGTTTTCCCTCAGCTGCTATATTATGCTCTAAGGAAAGGAAGAGACACTCTGTCTTTTAACATTACAACAGGTATCAGATATTTGTCCTGGGAAGGGAGGTGACCTGCAGAATGATTTCTCTATTAGAATTTAGTCCACAAAGTGAAAGGATTGAGTAGCTCTGTCCTGTGGATGTATCGGAAATAGCAGACCTGCTTCTAGGCACTGCTGCTTGGAAGTGTATCATGGAATTACCAGCTGCATGATAATAAAAGAATCACTTGCTCACAGGTCTATCAAGAGTAACGCCAACCTTGCCTCCTTTTGTACACACCATCCTCCTCATGAGACAGAATACAGGTTGAACATTCCCCTGTCTAGCAGAAAAGAGAGTGGAGGTGGGGATCCATAAGTGGGGTTAAATGTCAATCTCATCGAGGACGTAGCAAGGATACAACAGCCCCATCATGCTTATAAAAAGCAGGAGAGAGGCAATGCAGGAGGAGAGGAAGGGGACAAGGAAGCAAATAAATAAGGACAATGCACAATTTATGAAGACAAGAAGGTAGTAAGTGCTACTCACCCAGAGTGTAAATTGGTATTGATGTCACAGCACAGCCCAGCCAAAAAATAATGATGATTGTAATTTAGGGCTTGCACTATATCTCACTCAAGCCACAGTCCTATCCAACATCAACTCTCACCCTGCCGCTTTCCTCCCCTTCTCTATTCACTGGTGTCCTCTTAAATCAAATACACTCAATGCTGATTTGATTATATTTCCTTATTTTATTTATCAGCCATTCCTCACTCTTCTACTCTCCTCGCAAGTTCTCAGTGGGCATCTCAGTCATTTTCTGGTACCCAGCAGTACTCAGAGGAATAAGCCTGTCTTTAGGCCACAGGAGTTAGAATCCTTATTCCGAGAAGGATTCATGCATCCTTCCCAGCCCTCATCTGTCATCCTTTAATCTCGCCTGTTTTATGCTCCAGATCCTGGCTACCCAGTCCTGACTTCCCAGGTTTATAGCCCTGACTTACTTCCCTCCTGTAACATTTTACTGCTTAGTTATCGGCCCTTAGGGGCCTCATTTACACAAGTGCTGTTTTCGCTATAGTTAAGACTAATTCACTGGGTTACTGTTTGCTCTTCCATTCTACACTGCTCAGTTCCCTGTCTCCTCTCTCCTACAGACAGGCAAAGGATTTCCTAGTGGGCAGAAGATTCTTTTAATTATTATATTTTTAATTATAGGTATCAGTCCCCTTTTGGGCTTGAATTCAGTTCTCCCCCTCTGTACAGCGTGATTCTAACTGTTTCTTTGATGCACATGTGCCCTCTGGGCCTTTCATAAGGTCTGTGGGGCCACTGAGAAGGAGACTTCATCTAGGATCTGCTCTCCTCATCCAGTTTGGTGTTCTAGGGGAATAGCAGACCCCAGAAAGCCTTGGGAGCCACGTATGTCTTCTATATTCTGGTTTTAGATTTCTTCTCATTTTCTCTTTAGGGAAGGAATTACTTTCCTTGTCATTTCTGTTTACTTCTTCCCTGAAGCTTTGTATGGCTATTCCATGACCTTGGAGCATGATTTCTACCTTTCTAACATACACACATGTACAGATACAGCTAAGCAGAGTCACACAGATTATACTGGTAGGAGGACATGGCTCATTTCAACCTATCTCCCTAAACAAGGCTCATTTCCAGTGCTGCTTGCTTCCACAGCTCAAACTCCAGCTGGGGCTGTGATTTAGCTTGTTTATGGACCAGTTTTCATATAAAAGCACAGCACAATCGATGCCTTTCTGTAACTAAGCCAAAAGCACAGAATCACCTACAAAAACACAGAGGATGCAGTCAGAGGCCACAAGGTGAACCTATGTGTGTGCTCCAGGGCTGTATCTACTGCGCCTAAAGCAGAGGAGGATGGTAACTATGGAGAACAGGTAAGTCTGAGCCATGGAGGCTGTAGAGTGTGACCTGTCTGGGGCTGCACACCCAGCAAGACTTAATTCAACTGCCTAAGCAAATGAAGGAGAGCTTGAGTCACATCAGAACCTCCCACACACCAGGACCAAGAGCCTGTTGAATTCTGCTTCAGCAAACTATTTAGCATCAGCTTAATTCCAAATAGCACCATAACAATGCCAATTACATGAGAAATGAAACACAAATTTGTAAATAATACAGTCTTTTGCTGTTCTCTGTTACTGACAGGATCAAAAGCTTATTGCCAGCCATTTATTACATTTCCCAACCTATTGCAACACATAAACAGATATTACCCCTATTTTTCTGATCAATAAACTGTGGCACAAAGAAATCAAATTAGTTGCCTGGGGTCATACAATGAACAGCTTAGGAACTGATCACTGGACCTATTCTTTTCTTCTCATTTCTGTGTTTCTAAATGGCAGCTCCTCCAGGGGCTTGGCACACAGTTGCAAATGATTTTCCAAACCTACCAATATTGGCATGACTCCATTCCTGCAGCAGTCAGAATGCTGGGAACAGAATTAGAGCAGTTCATTATCTGAAATGGCAACAAAGCTATAGCAGCACCAACTGCAGTTCAAGATGTCACCCAAATGCAGCATCAAGAACTCTTGGGATGAAGTGACAACAGTAAAAACCAAACCATCAACAACAAAAGCAAAACTAAAACCAGGAATGAAAACACCATCCCAAGACTTTCAGGGTCACAGAGGAGGAAGAGTTCAATGTGTTATGGTGTGGTTCTAATCTGTGATGTTGTGGACTTCTGCCTACTATGTGACTGCACATAAATAATATGACACAAGTGCAACTATTTTTCTCCCTTCAACTGGTTTCTTTGGCAACAATGACCACAACCAGATCCTCATCCCACATCCCTTTCTTTTCTTTGAACCCCACCTGCATCCTATACTCTATCCCTCTGTAATAAACAGGGATGTGCCCAGCATCCCCTTTCCCACCTTCGGAGATGTGCTGTGTGCTGCAGAGATTTCACTTGATGGCTGATGGAGTTCCCCACATGGAGGTGGGAGAGAGGAAGGAAAAAAATATCACAGCTCTGCTGCTGCACATTCTGCTTCCTGGCCTGGCATGACAACCCCAGCAACACTGCCAGGGATGCTCTGATAAGGGTGCGAGTGCTGCAGGATCCCCCTCAGCCCCAGCTGCCAGGTGGTACAGGCAGTAAAGAAACAACAGATTCTGAAATCCTATAAACCTCATTTGTTTCAAGCCACAGAAATCCCACCTAATGTACTTAACAGTTAAAAATGAAGGGATTGGAAACCTGACGCATGCTTCTATTTAGTGGGCAAAAATACAGCTTTAGATGCCTTCATCAAAAGCCTGTTGGATGGCAACTACCTGCTAGGTTTGGAGATTTGAGATCCCTGCTCCAAAGCAGGCTCAGCCTGCATGATACTGATTTCAGGAAGAACCATGTCCTGCCACCCAACCCGTCACTGATACAGAGACATATACCACATGTAGATGGAACCCTGGAAGGGCCATGGCCTCGGTCAGCACCCAAATCTGACTGCTTCCACAGATCACCATTGAAAATACACTCCATCATTCCTACATGCACTAAATGCTACATCACTCATTGGGCAATGCTGTAGAGACTTGGATTGGTAAAACTGATTATCGCTCCCTCAGCTCCCTGACTCCAACAGACCTATTTATATGAACAGTAATTACTTCTTTGAATAAGGGATTAAATCTCCAGCTATTAGACTTGAAAGTAAAAGCCCAAACGACAGACACTAATCTCTTCAGAGTATAAAAGCAGTTTTCAGACGGTACATTACCTGCCTGTGCAGTTTTATCCATTCCATAACAGACTGTGTATGCCCTGTATCCTACCAGATCCAACCCAACATCTGTAGTGCATGCACTACCAGCATTTTACCATTGTGCTTCTCTGTGCCAATTCCATCGTTGGCAGCACTCCCTAACTCCTTCCAGTTCCTGTGGAGCAGAAAAGGGGAGTGCAGCAGACTGCTGAATGTGCATGCAGTGAGTGCTTTGTAGGAGATATGTGATACACTTAATTCACTAAAAGGTATATTCAGACACAGAGGAGAGCTGGTCAAGGTTTAAGGTGGTCAGTAACTGTCTCCAGCGTGAAGACATCAGGGAAGGCTAGAGGGCAATATGTACATTGGAGATGACATCTTAGGTGGTTTTCAGGGTTACAGAGAGAGATGTGTGGGCTTAGAGGTGGTGAAAAAGCACTTTCTGCAAGCTTAGTAATCTTTTATGACACCCCACTCATCTGGAGGGAAGAAGACCCAATGTTCCAGCATTCCCATTTCCAAAGAGAGTCTGAATCTCAAAATGCAGCAGTAGTGTGACATACCTCACTCTGTTGATGATCCCACTGAGCGTCAGCAATGTAGAGGAGCTTTGGTTTGCACGTTTCTCATGCTCCAGGCAGTTTTCACTCATTATGTTCAGTGAACCTGGGATAATAAAGGGAAAACCTATGTTCCACCTCAGAGGCAGGTGCTGGAAGAGCAGTCACTGAATGGGAAAATGGACATTTCTAGTAGAATCCCACTTCCAGCTATAGCAACAAGGCTTCAACCCGGGAGCAATGCCCTAACCCGGAATGTTCTTGGATCTCTCCATCATCTGGTAACTAAAACCCTAACACTACAACTTCCCCATGTTTCCCAACAAACCTGAGTAGTATTTATTCACACTGCACATACTCCAGAGGGTTAAAAACCATTTTGTTCTGGATACACTGTGTGTGACTCAACTTCTAAAGCACTAAACTGTAACCCATAAACCCTTGCCATTATTTACTTTCTTAAAGATAACACGGAGCCAGCTTCTCCCTTGTGTGTCTATTTTGCTGCCTTTCGGAGACATCCTTTGTGACTGCTGCATGGCTCAGCAATTCCCAAGTCTGGGCATACACGGAAAATCCCTGTTAAATAATGACCTGGCAGAAAGGAGGAGGAAAGCTCCGTTCTCCACCAGACCTGGTTCTCTGGTGGCTCCCCCTTCCCTGTGCCTAGATGTGTCTGTGGCACCTTCCCTGTGTTTTGGGTAGGAAACAGCAGAAGTGGTCACGCTCCAGACCCCTTTGGGGGGAAAGAAAAGAGGGTCCTAAGGGAGCAGGATGAACTTGCTCTCACAGAGGCATGGTGGCCAGACTGGCGGGTTTCTTTTATCCTGTTTCTCTTCAGTAAAAGCCTCAATTAGCTCCACATTAATTATTAAATCAGAACAAAGCCTCTTTGGGTTCCAACAGCTAAATTCTGGTACTGCTGTTTCTTTGGGAGCTTGTCTAGTTTTACAACTTAGGACATAAATATCTTTCTTCAAGGAGTTCCTGGGCTGTTGTTTTTACTTTGCTCTCTGTGGGAGTGTTTTTAATCACAGTATCTCAAGCATACAGTGAGGGAAGCACTTCTGGGCCTCCTGCACCTTGGACATCTAACACAGCTCTCCCAGCCTCCAACGGGTGCTAGAACACAGCCAGGAGATGAGAAAGCTCTCAAATTAGGGTTCTCATTTGCACCTCTAAAAGGGGCTGCTTCCTTGTAAAATGGAGGGCTGGGTTTCCAGGTACACACTGTTCTTTAATTCTGCAGCTCCTTCCCACCCTTCTCCTCCATGGATGACACTAGGAATTCCGCCAAATAAGGTCAGTCTAGAAATACATGTCTTTTCTTACCCCACTGTTGCCAGACACACACACTTAGAGGTTGTTCTGTTCTTACTTGTTCACTGATACATGTCTCCCTGAGCAGAGCCAACCATCCTTACCCATACCCTCATCATAACCATTGTCTCTTTTCCTGGCACAGGTTAGTAGCTGCTCTCCACACATCTGACCTAAATGCCAAGGACCCTCACAGGGAGAAGAAAAGGAGATACAAGTTCCAAATGGGGCCATTCAAAGCTCCTCTCCTGCCCTTCAACCTCTTATTTCCCCAGTATGTTTTCAAACTCTTGCTCTTGTAGATGAGTCTGATCATACATTTCTGCTGTCTTGCCCCAGATGATTCTGGAAACAAATGGCTTGACTAAAATCTCCTGGAGAGTCTCTGCCTTCCACCCATGAAGTTCTAGGACTTCCTGAGGAATGAACAGCTCTAGCACTGTAAAACGCTTTTACTGCTTATGTGAATGTAATGTCTTTGGGAAGGAGCCAACCTGACAGAACTGGATGCAAAGGCTTTATAGCTACAGAACGGGTGCAGCAAGGGCTGAGAGAACATCTGCAAATTGCCTGAACTGGAGGGAACAGACTCCATGGGTTAGAGGGTCTTAATTTCCCAAACAGGGAAGTTTCCAGCTTCTTGGATAAAGAGAGAAACCCATCTCTCTCCTCCCATCCTTTTCTTCCCCTGCCAGTTCTCTCCCTCTCTTTCCTGTGTTGTGAGCTTTTGCTGCTCTGATTGTGTGCAGGATGAATGAAAGTCATTAGAAGTCCCTCAGGGCATCTTCACAGCTGGAAAGAGGAGGGACAGACAACTCCACAGGCTTCTCTATTGGTTGTATGGGGCCCTCAGTCTCTCAAGCACCATGTCCCAGCCAGAGAGCAGTGGCAGAGGAGAACAGAGTGAGGACACCAGCAACACTACAGCACAGGTCAGAGAGCAGGAAATAGGGCAGAAGAGAAGGGACAGGAGATACATGAAAGGAGAGAGATGAAGCGGGACAAGAGGGTTTTGGCTGAGAACAACGTTTTCATTCACCCTGCCCTTCTTCTTTGGCCAAGAGGAAGAAGGGATTAACAGCATTCTCTATTCTTGCTCCTCCCAGACAGCATGAAATCACTGTGCAGAAGTTAATGGCTTCAAGTCTGCACTGAGCTGAACTGGGATCCTAGGTGCAATAAACTGGTAAGAAGGGAAAAAATGGTGTCCGATATGTACCACCATGGGGAGAGCTTTGCTGCTGGCCCAGAATGAAACTCCTCACAATAATGATATAAAACTGGGGGACTGTGTGCATTAAAACCCAACACCCAGCAAGTATAGAAAACCAGACATAAGTAGATAACTAAATAGGCAGCTCTGAGCAGGCAGACAGTCAGTCAGTCACCTCTGCTGTCTCCAGTCCCTGCCTGAATCTCTGTTTCTGCTCAGCCTGGGGAAGCTGGCAGAACTTCATGCTTGACCTGCAATCCCACTGACAACATGTGATTTGTTTTGCCTCTGTTGGATAAGACTGCAGTATTTGCCATAGCAAACTTACTGTCTGTCAGCCCACATGTCCTTCAGCGGTGCCACTGACCACAGCTCTCCAGTTCTCTTGGCAGGAACGATGAGGGGGAGGGAAAACCTACAGTAAATACATTTGTATTAGGGAGGCTGCTTCCACACCTCTTTAAAAAAACAACAGAATGCTCTAGAAGGGGACCAGCACTAAATATTTCCTTCTAATCTTGCAAACGGTTCACACTGTTGCATGGCTTTGTGTGAGCTGTGCATCTGCCATCACTGTACAGCACATTCAGAGCCTTTCTGATGCTGCAAACGTCAGGTGTAAGGTTATCCCTGGGTGCTGAGAACACAACACTCCTGCTTATAGGAATGAAGCCCCTACACCAGGTCTGTGCTTCTAGGAGTACCAATGAAGACAGGCCCAACAGACACAGTACCCAGGGCTCTGGGTCATACAGAAAGAGAAGGCAGACAAGAAGCACACTGTGGGGAGGATGTCTGGTGACTGTGTGGCACAACCACCCACAAAACTGAGGCACAGTGCTGCAAGAAGCAGGAATTTGATCCTGTTTTTTGCTATGCACTTCCCCACATATCCCTTTGGCAAGTTCCACTCTGCCTGACAGAAATAAAGCTGTTCATCCCCGTGCTGAGTTCTCCATTGGCAAAATCCACCTTTCTGAGAGTTTTGAAGATCCTGGATGAAAGCTGCCATTATGCCTTACAGTTAGTTAGGGGATCACTGCTATTCATTATTGTGGGAGCTTCTGGAGGAACTGGATGAAAGCAGAATAGCAAACCTGACCTTCTGGACTCACATCTCAGTCTAATCCAATATTCTTTATCAGACATACCTTTGCTGCAAGGTTCCTCAGGGCAGGGGCTGGACTGCTCTGAAGGAAGTCTGCAACACTTCAAAATGCTATGAAAACGATTCACAACATTATCATCATCAATCATGATAAATACCAGAAAAGCCTCTGGATAACAACATGTATCTATTTGGATAACAAGATACACGTATGATTGCCAATTTGGAAGGGCTTATCAGCGGCAAGTAGAGAAGCCTCTCTGAAATATTTATCTATGGCTTATTTTAATGCCCACCTCCATCTGCATTTATGGGAGACACTCTTATAGAATTCCAACATTTATACAGTTAAATAATCAAATTAACATTAAGGGCAAAGACAAAGCAGTGGCCTGTCAAGGTCTGTTTAACAGAAGTCTGTATGTTCACCTTGGAAAGTGGAAAGTGTCCAATACAGAGCCCCATGACACTCCTGCTTACACCAGATTTATATCAGTGGAAATCCTCTGACACCAGTTGAATTGCTCTTCCTCAGCAACATGACAGCAGAAACAGGGCCAGGTTTTCTGCAGGGGAAAAGAGAAACAATCTGAAAAGTTTTCATTGCTCTCTGTGCCTCACATTCTGCCCCATTTAAAGCAAGGCAGCATGCAACCATTTCTCCCCCCTGCTAGCTAAGAGCAGTAAAAACCTTTCACAGCTACCTCCTTCATCTGAGCATCCCAGAGCACAGACATTCCTCAGTCAAGCATGACACCATTCTTGTAAGGCATACATAGATATGTCTCTGTTCCCCCTCTACAGGTGCACAGAGATCCATGGGGAGTTGGTAGAGAAACTGGGAATACAGTCAATAAACCCTAAATTTGTAGGCTCTTGATAGAACTTGCAGATGACACTTGTTTTTATGCCAGATAACCCAGTGTTTGCTAAGAAGAGATGCTTTGCTGCCAAGTGTGAAACTCAGTGTGCAGCCAGAGGATCAAGGCATAAAACCATCATTTGGTTGGTCATTTGGATTCATGAATTTACAGAGAGAATCCCATGATCTTACTTTAGCAGCACCCAAGCACAAAAGGAGCAGCCTCCTCCAGACTGGAGACAACAGGAAAACTCGTACAGTGGGCCTGATCCAGAACTGCCTGGTGACAAAGGAGCCACCTCACTCACACCTAGACATATCTCCAGGCTTCATCCCCCAGAGAATACCAGGAAGATGCTAAGTGGACCCTACCAGAAACGGACATGTGGAGCAAGCGAAAGGTGCTGCCCCTTATCCAGGTCCAGGAACCCACTTTTACATAGTTATCTGTACTGTTAAGCAAACGTGAATGCTTTTAGTGCAGGCTGAAGAAGGGCTGCTCCTAATCAAAAGCAGCCAGTTTGTTTCTATCCCCCCCCCGTCTATTTTGGTGCTTATGAAAAATCAAACTGGGAGCTGTGTGGCTGTGGCCTCCCCTGGCTTGCCTGAAAAGCCTTCACATCATCCAGGAAGACATACCAAATGCATGGTTCATACAGCATTCCCAGTGGGAGTAAACAGCCTTTGGTGGTAAGGCCAGGCCAAGGTCTTTGTGCTTGTGGTGCACACAGGAGGTTCCGCAGGTTGGCTCTGCATCCCAGCAGATGGCTCTGATGGAAGAGCCCACACGATACTCAAGCTGGCAGACCTGATGATCTAGACATATGCAGTGAGAGGGGCTCACTACCACTCCAGCCCAGAGCTGGAACACTGCACTGCACTTTGGATTGTGCCTGGGACAGCTCCAGCCAAAACCCTACAGGTCCCTTTCTCTGGATCATTCCACCCTATAGAAAAAGGATGGTGAGGCAAAGCCTGCCTGTGAGCATCCTGTCCCGCTCTGACACATCCATGGGACAGCAGCAGTATCTACGTAACACATGCTAACACATGCTAACACGGCATGACAACTGCAGTCACCAGGCCTTCTCTGAGGTTGCAGCAGTCACACATACTGTGCTGATACCCCTCTTCCAACTGCCAGTTCCCTGCGACCTGAGAAAAGGGGGTGAAGCCTTGAAAATACCCCGGTTTGTTATACTGAGAGCTGGCCTGATTTTCACTGTTGCCCTTGGTAAACCTGAGCCTGGTGTTAAACAGAGTGGCCATTTAGCAATTCCAGTTACCAGGTTCAGAGAGGTTTCATAGGCTGAGGTTGGTTTCCTTTTGTCATTTCTCTTTAATAATACAAAATTTACACAGACACACACACCCCCAAACCCTTTCAAGCCACAGCAAGAATAACAGACTCCCCCAGCAAAACACTGGATAAGAAGCACAGCACCTCATAAAGCATACAGACATCAAACTGATAACTCCTGGAGAGAGAAATATAACCTAGAAGAGGAAAATGAACTCATTTCTTTAAACATACCAGTAATATAAGCCACAGGCTAAGCAGGAGAAAGATCAAACTCCACACAAGCTAGGAAGAGGGGGAAAGGAGGCAGAAGTGTTACTTTTGCAAGGGATCACGTAACACCAATTACTGATCTGGCATCAGGAAAGGGGTGTAACAGCCGTGGAGCAGCCCACAGCGAGCTGTGCAGGATGATAGGAATGCATTTTCCGCTCACTATTAGCAGTGGGAGCATCCACCCTCCACATGTTTTCCCTCCCTAAAGCAGTGTTTGTTCTTCCTTCACTTTGGAAAAGCTGCTCTGAGCCCTGCTTCCTCCTGCCCCACTCCATGCCCTGTCCCTCCTTACAGATTCCCCTGTCCTGTGGAGCAGTTCCTGTCCCCATGGCAGCTCCGGCTGGAGGACTGCAGAGCACATTCACCCCTCAGCTCCACAGGGAAGAAGGGGTAACACACACCTTTACAAGAAGCAGCCCATCTTAAACCTAGGCCTCTGCTTGTGAGGTAGCAGCTCTCAACAGGTCCCCTCTTCCTTGTAGCCACACACTAACTCCAAATGCCACAGCCCCCTTACTACCCTGTGCATTAGCTGGGGGTAGCTGTCTAATTCTATCGTACTTCCAAAGAGCAGAGACAGAAACCTTTAATGGACACTACAGTAAGAGGGGGCAAAGCACCACTCCACCACGGTATCAGGAGTACCGAGCTGGGTAAACAGCCCCAGGAGAGATCTCTGCAGGCTCCCACATACACATTCTCCTGTGCTAAGGGACTGCAGAGCCAGACAGGTTAGAGGGGAGAGCTATTAAAACCAGCTCAACTTGAGCAATACTGGGCAGCTTGTACTCTATTTTCCCCCTTCAGTTTTTTTATAGCTGCTTACAGTCTCAACTTTAATATTCTTTCTTTGGCACAGGACTGACTGCGTGCCCACTGCCTGAAAAAAAGTGGGAATACTGAAGGATTAGGAATACCTAAATTTATGGCAGGATTAACTAGAGTTTTATCTTGCTTGACACAGAGAACTAACATGAACAGTCAAGGACATTCCAGCCCCATTATCTCCTACTCCTGTTGTAAAGAATGCAGAAAGAAAGGCTTGCACATTAAGAAAAGCTCCTGACAGCCATTTGAGCTATCCCAATCTGTTCCAAGAAACCAGCATGTTTGTTGAATGCCACAACCATTCAAAAAACCTTTAAAGAAGCATTAAATAAATGAGAAGTCTAGTTCTCCTCTTGCTTACATCAGTTCGAGATAAAACATTAAGTAAGAGAGAACCAAACCCAAAGAAAATATTTGTTTAGATCTCATTCCACTGCCAATGGAATTTATCACTGAGCTTAATGGAATAGGACCAACACCAGGAATATCCACATCTTCCATGGAGCCATGGCATGCAAGGCCCTGCTGGGATGCTGGGTGATGAAATCAGTATTTTTGTGACCAGAATGAATGACCCAGGTGCTACCCTGAGCATGTTTCAGTTCCCCTTCTCTGGAGCAGGGCCAACAGGCCCAACACCTCAGATGGCTCGTAAGGAAGCGCATTTACAGGTGTGCTGTGGACTCTACAGACAGAGCTAGTGGTGGATCAAGGCAAGAACAATGGACAGATCCTGTAGATGGGAGAAATGAAACCTGGAAGCACCATGAGCTTACTTTCGAAGGGGAAGGGCAGGTTCTCAGCACCACAGCCAGTCACATACACACTCTCTGTCTCTGAAAGGATTTTCTTTTAGACTGGTAATTAGATTTTTTGAGTCTCTGCTCCTGCACTGGGTTTGACATTTGAAGCATATAGATCAGGCGCTCCAGAGCAGCGCCGCTCGGGGTTACAATAGTGATTATTTTTCAGTAGGAAACACTGCCTCATTTAAATCTCGTCTAATTACATCACAGAAATGCAGCAGAACAAGCCCTACTCTGCCCCTCCCCGCTCCCTCTCCCCCCCCCCCCCCCCCCAGGCCCATACCCCCTGCATTCAACTCGGGGCGGGGTTCTCCATCCAGGACCACAGCCCTCTCCCCCAGGCAGCAGCCGCTCGCTCACACAAAGCGCCTCAGCCGGGGCTGTGCGGGCGGGCTGCGGCCGAGGAAGGGGGGACACCCCCCCGAGCGGGGACAGCCGCAGGGCCCCCCGCGGTGGCCGGCAGCCGAGGGCACGGCAGCGGCGGGCGCGCTGCCAGCCGCCGACCCGCCCCGTCCCCCCCCGTCCCCGCGCCGGCAGCCCGCGGGGAGGCGGCGGCCCCAGACGGCGCGGCGGGGGCCGGGGGGAGGCGGCGGCTTCCTGGAAGCGGCGGGTGTCGGGTGGCCGCCGCCGGGCCGGCGCGCTGCGGGCCGCGGGCAGCGCCGGGGCGCGCCGCCGAGCCCGGCGGGGGGGAGCGCGGAGGCGGTGGTGCGGCTCCGCCCCGGCCCGGGGGCGCGTCCCGGCAGCGTGGGGCCCCGCGGGGCTGCCCCTGCCCGGCGGGGGGACGGCGCCGCTCTGCCCGCGCAGCCCCCGTGCGGAGCGCAGCCCCCGCCGGGCCGCACGCCTGGGTCGCTCCTCAGCACCGCTGAGTGAGGCGATGGTGCCGGGCAGCGGCAGGATGCACCCGCTCGTCCAGGGCTCCTGGAGAGGCCATTGTCACAGGCCCGGGTGGCCAGCCACAAGCAGGGACACCCGCACTCCTCCAGGCGCTGGAGAGTCGTACCTGTAGCATGGCCATGCTGAGCGTGCAGAGCCACTTCTGCTTGTGCTTCCTCAGCCACTGAACAGAAAAGCTTTTTGCCAAGTCCATCACAGGTTTGGGTTTGCAGCGTTGCCAGCAGCGCACAGCTCATGTCAATGGAGTGAGGAAGAAATACGTGTATTTGGCTCTTGGAATGCACTTCGGGTTCCCTGTGGCATACAGAAAAGACCAGAGCGTTCTGGTACTCTGTAGTAAACAGTGGCAGAACTCAACTGATGTACCTGCAGCAAAACTTCTCCAAAGGGTACCTACACTGATTGAAACACAGCAAATAACTTGATAGGGAAATACATATAGGGAGCAAAAGCTTCCCCAATAGCATTCTCCTCCCTCCCTCTTTTCAGCAAGTCAGCATAGTCCCTCCTCCATGATAACAGATATCGTGGAAGGCACTAAGGGAAATTCGTTCTTCCCCAACGTTTAAGGAGATAAAGTTGATGTGTTGATCTTTTTATTATTCCTTTAAAACTGTTTAAGATGTTTAACAATCTGGCTTTGAAATAATGCAGAGCACAGGGGTTTTGTACAGAGTTAGCAACGGTTGAAGAACTGGGTCTCAATGAACTGTATCTGCTTCAACAGGTTAAATGTAAAGTGACAACTGCTCCATATTTTCAATACTGAAAATTGAGCTGATAGTTTAATGTCACATGTGGAGATGGTGTATACAAATACACAATCAGTATCTGAATCCTGTACCAAAAGGTTTTACTATGAGGGGTCAAGAATATTCTGTAGCCTGAAACCTTTATGTCCACCTTGCCCTGCCTTTTCAGCTCTGCAGGCCTTTTGGGACAGGCTGTTCTCACCAAATTCATTCCCAACCTAATTTCTCCTCAGCCAAACACCAATGAAGAGAACCAAGTTATGCTGGAGGCATATTTATCATAGGGAATCTCTTGCCACCAGCACCTGAGCAATTATTAATAATAACTCACACATACTAGCTCAATATGCAGAATTGAGCATTGATGGGTTTTCATCCCAGCCTGTATTATGCCTCTCATGTGGTGTCTCTAATGTTTTATGCTCACTTTTCCCTTCTTTGCTACTTGTTTGTGCCACCAACAGAGACAGGGATCTGCGAGCTCAGGCTCTGATGCTTCAGCTTTTGAACATGCCATTGATGAAAAACATTCTTGGTTGTGCATTAATAGAAACTCTCTGCTGCCTCCTTTCCAAATGCTGGGAATAACATGACAACACTCAAACCTCAGTGATTACTTGAAAATTACAGGTTTGGATGGTAACTCCGCTCCACTGAAGGATATTATATACTGTAGTGATCTAAGGAGAGGTGGCTTTTGTAAGACCATCAGAGCTCTTAATTTTCCCACTTACTCTGCACCTGCCTCTTTAAAAGACTGGAGTTTACAGGGTAAGTGACATGCACAGATGTAACAGCGTCCTCTGACCAACACCAAGGATTCAGCTTAGGGAAGGCACCAGTGGGGAAGTCATGAGATTCTGCAGCTTTAATAAAAAAGGATTTACTGAGGCTGAGAAACACTGAGCAGTACCTGCTGGATAGCCAGGACACTGGTAGAGAGCTCAAGTCAGGGTTGGGTGCAGCCTGTCAGTGACAGGAATAACTCCCTCATCACTGTGACCCAGGGTCTGAAAGAAATTAAGGGGTCACAGACCCCTCTGCCTCCCTACTCTACCTGCCCTTAAATGCATGGAGGCATATGGAGGCTATTCCTTTACCTTCATACCATACAGCATCTTTTTGTCTCAAAGAGCATATGTGCACCACCCAGTGACTTCAGTAGAGACTCCTGGAGCAGGATGGTTGGGTGCCTGGAGGACCCAGTATCTCCCTGGCTGCAGCTCTATGCTCACCATCCCACCCGTGCCCCATGAGTCTGTCCAGAGGAGTAAATGTGCCCCACAGCACAGCCTACAAAGGTGGGTTGGGGTGCTCCTGCATTCCCTGGTGTGGTCACACCTGTGCTTGCATTCACATAAGGGCCGCATCTCTCCCTGTAACAGCCTGATTCAGTACTGCACATCCTGGTCAAAGGAGAAACCTAAAAGGGAGAAGCCCCAAGGGATTTCTTTCAGTGTTTTTCCCTGAAATTCTGTCCAAAAATCAACATGTTTCTGTGAACTCCTTCCGTTTTTGACAAGCTCGCACTTTCAGTTGATCATTTTGCAATCAGTGCTGCTCAGATCATCCAAGATTCAAACCCAGCTTTGTGTCACCAACATGCTGTCATCCATTTTGCATTCCAGTTGACCTCAGGAGCAGTCTCCGTATCGTTTATAGATGCAGAAGAGTTAACAAATACATAGGATTGCCACTACATCATGTGGAATGTCCTACCTTTATGCTTGTTTTTATTTTTCAGCACCTTTGGATTCATCATCTCTGGTCATTGCTGGCACATTGTAAAGGACTGCTGGTACTTCCCACATTCACTATCCAGTACTCTGGAGCTGTACAGCTGTGATGGAAAGCAATCTTAACTGGAAATAGAACAAAGGGAAGGGCATATCAGATCTAATTCAGAAAGCATACATTTAAAGCGGGGGGGGGGGGGGGGGGGGGAGAGGGAGAGGAAGAAAGGAAGAAAGAAAAAGGCAAATAAACCCCAGACATTAACTTTGGTCCCATCAAGTCAGCAGCTTTAGGAGCACTTGGCTTCCAGTTGTGCCAGAAACATGCTGCACCTTCTGCCTCACCTGTAGCATTCTTCATTCTAGAGAAACTAACAGACCAAAACCAAAGTAAACCCTGCTCTTGCTTTCTCAGCTCAGCTTCAAGGGATGGGATCCAGACAAACTGCTGGAGGGAAGGAAGGCTTTGGGATTCTGCTTTTTATTTTATTAGGTGCAAGTGAGTTATTCTGATTATGTTGGCAAGGAGTGGGAAAAAAAAGCCTCATAGTAGCACCTCTGTCCCCATTACCCACCTCCCCATGCACATGTGCACTCCCAGCACCCACTGCCACATCATTTGGCCAGGGAAGGCTCACGGAGACAAGGCTACACTGGAGCCTTTGCATGTTGTGATGTTTGACTGCTCTGGGGGACAGAAAAGCCTTGTTTTTCCCATTTTTTTTTTTTGTTAACTGAGGCATGGTAGGGATAGGAAGGGGAGAAGCAAAAAATTCTGCAATCCCCTATGGTTTTTTTTCTCCCTAGTTTTGGGCTTTGCTCTCCACAGTTGCCACTTTTTTCAAGCTGCTTTGGAGCTCCACGTGTATGGTGATAACATGGCTCCACTGTGCTGTGGTGAAAAGGATGCACAGTATCTATCAGACAGAGGGCCCCAGGGAAATCAGAGCTCCTTCCTGACATCTCATCCCTGCCACGGGGCAGGTAATGGGGAGCTGGGAATTCTGAGCTTTATTCTTCCAGCTACCACTGTATTTACGTGCGAGTCTTTTTATGCGATGACTCTTTACCTACTAGAGAAAACAGGGAAGCCAGAGATGTGCCATCGTCACGCTGCCAGGAAGGACTCCATGCATGAAGCAGAGCTAGAGTCAGTTAAAGTCTCTTTTTTTGCCTCACTGCCTGCCTGGAAGAGTGATCTTGTATGTGAATGCTTTTGTGCTTGCCTGTATCTGTATCAAAGGATAATCGGAATGGGAAGTTATTAAAAAGAATGTAAAAGACAAGATCAGAGGCAAATGTCCTCACCAAGCTGAATGCCAAAAACACTAAAGGAAGGAAGTTAAACATGGTGCTTTATCTCCCCAGTCCAAAGGGCATCCAGAAAAGGGGAGTTGGGAGCTGTGGTGCTGCTCATATGGGGATTATTTTTAGCTTCAGTTTTCTGTGTTTTTTTTCTAACGTCATTTTAGAAGCATTTACTACTTAATTCCCTTCTTCCCTGTGCTTTGTGACCATGGCATCACCTGCTATGCAGATTTCAGGAATACAACAGCTCTCTCCTTTGAGCGATGGTAGCTGAGGAAGCAGAGGAGGACAAGACTATTTCTCCACAGTGAAGCCAATACAAATGGAATTTCAGATAGGAATTTATCAGTATCTGCCTCTGCTCTTGGCACTACAGAGGCAATGTAGATGGCTCTGAAACCTTGCAGAGTGCCAGAAATGGTGTAGCACCACTTTCCCTACCCGACAGAGATTCTGTCCTCAACAGAGACCTCTGGGAGAAGAGCACAAAACTTGAGCCTAGGAATGGGTATGGAAAAACACAACTTGGACAGAGGAATTCTCCCCATGGAAGCCTCCATAAACTCACAGACTCACATATATCAAAAATCGAGCCCTGCTCCTATTGAAATTAATAGCAGAACTTTGCTGAAGGCAAGTTAGTGTTGAGCAGGAGGCCTGGAACTCCCCACAGAGCACAGAAAGGAAGGTCAGGCATCTTCCTCGGACACCTGCAGGGGAGGCAGAGGAGGAAGCACAGAGCGTATGTGAACCACATGGATTCTGCCCGTGGGATATGTATGTTCCCCATGGCACAAGACGAGGGAGTTAGCTGAATACAGGGCTCATGAGTGGTGCAAGGTCGATGCCAAAGGAAAACACACAGATTAGTGTGGGAACAAAGAGCCTCTGAATGGTTATATGGAGATTGCAATACAAAATACATATTTCTGCAGTGTGCCTGAGCCTCCATCTGCTCCTGGGAGGAGAGAGCAGAAAACAAGACTATACTTTTGTTGTTCTGCATGTCCCCTGTGAAGCCTTCTCCCAGGAAAGGCAGAGGGAGTGAGGAGGTTAACTGCTGCAAGCAGGCAGTTTCCTAGGCAGGGCCCTATGGACTGAGCCTGCATATTCAGCTTAACTGCTGTGTTTAAGGCACCACCCAAGGGGAGAAAAAAGAGGGAATAACAGAGTTCTGAAAACTAGGGTGGGGGGAATCTCCTGAAAGGGAACTCTCCCATGCTGGAAGAACTGGAAGCAATAAAGGGGAAAGTGCAGCCTTCCTGAGGCACACGGGAGAGACCAAGTGGTCTGAGAGTGAAGTGTGGATGTGAAATATGGCCCTGCAGCAGCTGTTTACCACATCAGCCTCTTGGTGTGCAGGCTCCCATCCAAGAGCTTTCCATCAGAATCCCAGTAAAGCAAGAGCAGAGTCACAAATGCAGCAGGATGGGAGCCAG